TCTGGTCATTTACAGTAAACCAACTTGCATTACGCTCCTGAGAAGGGGGTTGTCGTTATTCTAGCAATAACACGACTTAAACTGTGTGGTCATGCTCCAAATTATTAAATCTAGTATTTCTGAGTTTTTTTCTCGAGGTGTAAAATCCACCACTGACATACCTTTATAATACATTTTGCCTTGTTTTCTTGCATCTAGGTAATTCAAAACATTTGAGACCGTTTTCCCTTTTGACTCCTTACAATTACACTCATCTCTGGCAACTTCATCAAAGAGATAATTTCATCTTTAAAATTATTTAATCTTTTCATGTTAAAAAAAGAGAAAATCATACTGTGGAAGTCCAGTTTCTATGCCAACAATGAAGTGAAATTCTCCTCCTGTGTACAAGATGACCACCAGGCAATAAGTCATCTGTAGGATTATGAAACAAGAAAGTTCTCCCCTGCCAAAAAAGCAAACATACAGGTTTTCTTCCTTTTCCTCACTCCCTACCAATGACAATCAGCCAAACAATTTTTTAAAAATCAAGCATCTCTCCCTCAACTAAGGAAGTCAGTGACCTGCATTTTTCTACACCAGAATAAATTATTTGCTCTCAACACCTTTTGCTAGGTTGTGCTCCTTCCTTTAGCAAGTCTACCCCTTTCTTTTTTGCCGTTCCATATAACCAAGACAATAGGAAGCAGCAGCTGGATTATGTTTGTCACAGTAACTTAGAGACCACATATAAAGGCTACTGCAAACTACTTTGGCTGGTCCCTGTGGTCAGGGACAATACTGACCTTATCAGATCTTTTTTCCTGGGAACTTCCAGTGAGAATATCCAGCCAGTTGGACCCTCTTCCCCAGGAACAGGCAAACACAATGCAAGGTTTTTCCTCCAAACCAGGAACAAAGAATGATGTTATTTCCTATGGCTGGCTTTGGAAGAACTGCATCGCAGCACCAAATCATAGCAGCAAAACCAAGAAACAGTTATTTACTAAACCTTTATTTTAAAAAATGATTACAAAATATCATATAAAGTTCCTTAGATCAAGAAAACAACTCAATAAAAAAGATCACAGGTTTAAAATGATAAAAAATACGTAAGCATTTAAAAATTATTTAGATGCTACATCTAAATTCAAGGCAACACTGGAAATAAAATGACATAATTCTTACCTGACATATATATAAAATTAATGTATTATCATCCTGCTCTGATAATTAAAAATCACTTAAATTCTTAATGGTATTAAAAGTGATATATAGCTCTGTCCAGCATAGAATTTAATATCCAGAGAGTTGCTTATGTTTACAGCAATAGACTAAAAAAGGGATGAATTTCCATCTTACAGGCACTATAAGCATCTTGATTTGCTACAATTTTATAGAACCTTTGAAAAATTTCACTAAGAATTTCCCTTCAGTGTAGAAAGCTTGGTATTTTATTGCACAAATTTGAACGAGGATCACCATGACAGCCATTATGCAAAAACATCTTGTGCTGAGCTCTGAGAATTGTGTGAGATCACTTGCTGCTCTTTCACGTTGGAACGTGCAAAGGTAGAACTCACCTGTAACAGATCACAACCCTTCCCTGCTCTTTTGAAGCACAGGGTACAGGTAATAAGGCACAATTCCTTCCCATACTCAGAACCAAAGGGTAGCACTGTGATTTTAACATGGGCTAAACACCAAACACAAAAATTAACATTCACAATCTACACAATGCCCAGTACAGATCTTCACAGAAAAAGTTCACAGTCCAGCCATCGTGACAAGTCCTCACATAACCTGAAAAATCCTCTCCACTGATTCTCAAGGCACTGTGAAAAGGCCTTGAAAGTGGCTGCAGAGCCTTTAAGGCTGCAGAGCTTTAACTTAACAGGTTCAGCTCGAAAACACCAAAGCTGGGTGTCCAAGCAGGCTGCCAAGCACTGTGGTGAAGAATGGAGAAGACAATCCCCAGATAGATGTACTGGGCCAGTTGCTTCTTTCCAACAGGCTTTACTGCCAGTTATGACATACAGAGATGTTTGCTTTGCCAACAGAAGAAATTTGAGGCCGTTGTATCTAACAGCACTTCTGCTAGAGCTCCCATCACTCTCCTGAACAATCCCTAATCCACTTAAGCCAAAATCAACCACCTTAATGGAAGCAATTTAAATAGGTGGTTTTAATAAGGTCAGCTGATTTCATCAGAAGCAGGCTGGGAAACAAGCAAAGGGCTTTGCTGACAGAGCACAAGGGGTTAGGGACATCCAGCCATACACACAGAGCTCCTGCAGAACCAGACATTTAATCCAGCGCCAACAGCATTCTCTAGGATCAGTCTAATTAAGAGACAGACATTTAAAGCCAGCACCTGACACCAGAGGCATCAAAGGGGCATGTCAAGGCTGCAGACCAGTCTGCTCAGTCACTGCAGCAAGGAAGCCTCTCCCCCATCTAGACTGGGAGGGCAGAGGAGCTAGGAGTAATAAGGAAAGTTAGGATATAGGAAGCTAAAAAAGTAGTTAAAACAAATAACCTTACAGAGCAGAAAACACACACAAATCTGCTTCTCAACTATTTTAAAACAGTGCAAAAACACCTTATGAGGTGCAAGGATTAACAGCACCTCATGCATGTTAGCCAACAACTTGTTTGGAAGCAACATTTTAGGCAACTGCCTAATTTTATGTCACTTGCTCCTAAGTATTTAACTATTATGTGACAGACTATTGCCAGGTAAACTGCCAAGGCCAGGAAATGACTTTACAGATCCCTTTGTGTATCTCCAGGAATGGACACCAGTAACACATCACTTAGGTGGGGAAAAGTCTACAGAAAAAGCAACCAAAACCCAGACTTCAATTAACCTATCTTCAGACTGAGAAAAATAACAGGAAAAATTACCTCAAGATAAGTCCACTCACGATGCTGCATTGCTTAATAAATATCTAGCAGCACAGTGTTACTCTTATACTATATTTACAGCTACCAATTACAGATGAAGATTTAAAGACTGTAGACATTTTGGTGTGGAAAAAAATTCAGTAGGACTCTGGGCAATAAAAAGAAAACAAAACAAGACTATTGGAATGTTACTTATATGGGCACGGTCACCAGAGTAAGACATTGCAGATCACAGAGGAGATATTTCTCATTGTGGATATCACTGGTAACATCACTAGTAAACCAAACATATCTAATATCTAATCTAACATATCTAATCTACCCCAGTTATTAGACAGCTACAGCAAGCACTGACTGAAATCAGGTTTTAGTGCAAACAGACACTAATAAATACAAAAAAACCCAACCAAAGAACAAAACTGTCCAAAGAGCATTTCTTCTTTACAAACCAGAAATTTCTATGAAGGAAAGTATCTCTTCAATGCATAGCTCTAAAACCAAGCTACAGCTTTAACTTGGTGCTTCATGCCACGTGGCAAAATTTTACATCCTCCAAGCAAAGTGTAGTGTTAGGGTTAAGTCTCAGGCCATAGAGGGAGAGAGAACATCACAAGCTCACACTCATCAGAAAGTGTCAGCAATGGAAAAAAAACCAACTTTGACTTGCTATTACAGTTCTCTGTCTTAAAACATCTTCTTCTCCCTTTTCCAAATACAGCTCAGCCAGTTTCTGGTGGGCTTGGTCTCAATGCTGCCACAAGAGGTTACAGGACTGGGAACACACCAGATTGGGATATTGGTGAAATGCAGTCAACACGTGAGAGACACATCAAATATCTCAAGCACTCAAACAAGAATTGTTTTTGCATAATCAGGTTTTTCTCATTTGCTTTAGTATTGTGGAACATCTCCTGGCTTACAGTAATTTGCTCTGCTTTTGAAGGATTTCCTCTTAAGAGAGGAGTAGCAGTCTTGCTTTTACCTCAGACATCAGAAAAATGCTTTTACTTCATTTCTTTTACAGTCATCAATATCTGATCTGACACATTCGTCACTTGTCTGATACGTGTCCCTTCAGTAGCGTTCCTTGCACTCCTACAGACTGTCACTTGTAAAACAAATCAAGGGGACAAGTGCTTATTTACCTGTTTACCAACTAAGCTAGTCAACAGCAAGGAGTCTCAAGCTACTGCCAAATTTATGAACACAGAAAATGGTGAGGTTCAAAACCATTCTGGCAAAACTTAGCATTACCTACACATAAACAAGCTGCATGTGGTATTAACCTTGCAAGTAATATCCACCAGGATAGAACCAACATGATGTAAGGTTTTTCCTGTTGATACTCAGATTGCTACTTCTGGAGTTGCTTCATGTAAATATTTATTCTTTATCTTATTCCTCTCACTGATGGCTCTTCGAGTTTCTTCCTGCAATTGTTACAGCTTTCGAAACCATCTGAAAGAAGATTCTGGTATACAAGTCCAAACTTTGACAAACATGGGGTGCAAAACTGTCTCTTTAATATACCATTTACATTACCTTCCCCATAAACCCCTTACAGTCACTATACTATTAAACTGATCTCCACAGACTGAAGTAAGACATAGCAGTAGTAAAAACAACCCAAACCCCCTTACTTAAGGATAAACATCCCTGTAAGATTCGAGTTAGGTATCCCTTTTACATTCAGTTTGACCAGGAAGTACAAAAATGAATCCTGCAGTGCTAATTTGTAACTTGCAACAGAAGCATATGGTCCAATTAACTAGGAAATATCTTTAGGTTATAGCTCAGAATTTATGCCTCAGACATTAACCGTTATTAGTCATCTCTGTGAAAACCGAATCAGCAGACTGCTGTCCTGAAGTTATTCTCTTTAGACCCAAGCTTTTTTAGTGCCTGTCATCCCAGCAGGTGGCAGGACCAGTTACCTTGGAACATGATGCTCAAGATGCCCAAGATGCCATTACCTGACCCAAGAATCCATAAAAATTTGATGAGCAATACATACAAAATCGATCATAACAAAGAAAGAGAAGTTATTACCTACAGTGCACTGAAAGCTCATTTTAGTTTGCTTCAATTAAAAAAACAAAACAAAAACCTGAAACTATTTTAGAAAGCTATCTTTGTTTATTCAATGGCTGATTTTCTCTGGATTTTCCTGGAGTGTTACCAGGATTTTCAGGGCGTCCATCGATGTTTTGTTTTCGCCTGAGATAGAGCTCTATACCACATTCAGCTGCAAATGCAGAAGTTGCAAAAAATCCGAATACCTGTGAAAGTGACAGAAATATGTGATTTTAAAAGGCATAAACAGTAATTGTATCCTAACATTGTTTGGAAATATTTGCTGTACCATTTTATATACATTTATATACATTAATAATGCTTATATATTAAGATTACAGTTTTCCTTAAAACAATAGTTCCATTTAAATTAGACACAGATCAGAAATCATAATTCTAGGATGTTCACTGCTGAAGTTTTCACAGTTTTCATTCTCTCTTTTAATCATTTAAACATCCATTCTTTTAATCAAGTGTGAACCTTATACTGTGTTCCAATCAACCTTTAATCCTGAAAGTATATTCGTTTCATTGCCAAAATCAGTTATTAAAGTAGCACAGCATATAGCAGACTATTTATTTAAGAGAGGGCTGCTGATTAATGAGAGTAAATCAAGAAGAATAACACACAGAAGGTGAAGGAAGAGAAGATCTGCAGAGCCTGGGTCAGCAAGTGAGAATTAAATGACATTTTCTAAATGACATTTCATTACTAGTCATGGCAAGATGAGAAGTGGTAAAGAGAAGACAGCTTTTTTCAAACAAGGAATGAAATATATGCGTTATTCTAACTCTACCTGAATTTTACACAACTGGTTTGGACCAAAGTAATTTGACATTAATAAGTATTACAACACAATAGTTTTTATTTTTCCTGCACTAGAAAAAAAAAAGCAAAGCTGAAACCTGATTTATGATCAAACCATTAGGTCTAAATAGATCTACATCATATAAGATGACTATACAAAAGTGTGTATCTGATAGCTGATGCTGCCTGTGGAACAGAATTATTTTGATTTTTTTTCCCAATAACGTTTTCTCATTCAAGAATTGGATCTTTTAAACTCACATGTTCGCAATTCCAAGGTTACTCAAAAGAAGTATTCAAATGACTAGGGAATTATGACATCTACAGCACCTCAAAAGCCCTTTCAGTGCCTTGCCCTGAGCCTCCTCAGTGTTCCCTGGGAGGTAAATGCCCTGTTGCTCTATTATTTCTGTCACTGAGGAAACTGCTGCTCTTATTGCAGACTGTGCAACTCAGTGTTATCCACATGTGCTCTGTAAAAGCAAAAGACAGGATTTCTTGATGACTTTGTGAGAGGGTGACATTATGAAAAGACAATTGAGGAAAACCAGAAATTTCAGAATTAGGGTTCCAGAGAACTGGACAAGCTTCAAGAGATGGTAATGTTGAACAGCAAGAGATGACAGGAAATAATACAAATCTGAAGCAGCAGGCAGAAGGTAGGGAGCTGCAAGTGCGCACAGAGCTTTCCAGAAAACCTGAGGAATCCCACATCTTTGGATTTCCTATGGTAAATTTCTGGAAGGTCTGAAATAGCTAATTCCTCCTGAAACATCACAATGCACTGAGTTCTATTCCCTACCCAGCTTCTCCTCTGCAAATTGAGTGAAGTTTAGAGGGCAGAGAAATTAACGTAACAGATAAATATAAAGTAAACCTTGCCATTTTAAGACTTACACATGCAGCACTTTCAACAGCAGAGCCAGAGCAGGTTGCAGAAAACACTATTGATGCTAACAGAAACCAGGCAGCTATGACAGGCACAGCCCAAAAATTCTGCAAATATATATATAAAAATATTTATCATTTAACTGTAGATAGGTTACCTAAAAAGAACAAACATCATAACATCAGCTGAGTTGGCTTGCCTATGAATTTGCCTATGAATTTGATGCTAGTGAAAACTTCAGAAAATACATTTTACAGCTACATTCCAAATGCCATTCAACATTATCAGCTATTTAAACAGCATTATCAAGTATTTAAAGGAGTCTGGCTGTTTTTGTTTTTAAGTATTTAACTGATTTCATCTAACCTTTTTTCACAATCAAATTCAAGCTCAGATTTTCACAATCAAATTCAACCATGAGCTTTATTCCCTAAGTAAAACATTTGAGAAATTAGAAACTGTAAGTAAATGTGTTCATTCAAACCTTTTACTACACTCCCTTATCTGTACTCTCACATAAAGACACTACTGTTTGCTCTGAAGGCAAATAGGAAGGGACACTTGTGAGACAGAATAATGTTCCCACTGACTTTACAGAGCAACTTTCTCCCACTGCTGGATCTTCTGAAGTATAAAGCCATAAACTGTAACGTTTATGTAATGTAATGAGTTATGATTGTTGCCAAAAAGGAAAATAGGGTAAACTACAAGCAAGCATCATGCTGGCAGTAAACTGTATTCCTTATATGTACACATATGCAATGGCTATGCCACAGTATTAGTAACATTAACGTGGAAAGACTTTTCCACACGTCCTAAAATCCTGCAGGTAGCCAACTTTGAAAAAGATGTCAGTATAAACTCTCAAAGTTGGCTCATTTTAAAACTATAAGATACTTTAATCTACTCTTTACATGGAGAAGAAAAGGAGATTAATTTTGCATGGGCTTTTTATTCCACAGCAGGCTTTATGCACTTAGAACAGTTTATTTTTCCAAAATAAAAAAGTTTTCTTACCAGTTTCTGCACTTTATCTTTCCCCAGTGATTCATACAAATCAGTGCAATACAGACACAGAATCAGGAGGCTCAAAAGAAAGGCACTGCAGCTTACGAATTCAAAGAAGTAAAGTCCACCACAAGTGCTGCAATCATCCACAATTTCTTCACAAACAACAGCCACAAAAGAAAAAATCTGCAAGCAAACAAATAACAACATGCTTGAGTTGGATCAAGTCTCTAACATCTTCAACAAGTAGACATCTCTGATATCAAGATTAATAAAGCTAGCTGTGACAAGAATTCTCAATCTACAATGAGTTTGGTGAAGTTCTGCACAATTTTCTTACAGACAGAAATAATTATACAATGACACGGTTTACACTTGGCTGTTAAAGGTAGTCAATAAAGTACACTCAGGTAAGGTGAGCACACAGCCAAACAGAGGCTTCTTGATTAGACAGACAAGATTCCTGTTTTGTGGTTTTGTGCAACTGGCAGTTGGAAGCAGATGAGGCAGTGTGGAGAACAGACATCCTGCAAAAATGCTACTGCTTACTACATACTGAGCTGCACTCAGTTCTGAATGAATTTGGGCTCAGGGCAGTGGGGGAAACTGGATAGTACTGACACACTCAGCCACCTCCCCTAAAAGTTCACGGCTGATGTTACCTGTCTTGATAAAACTTCAGAGAAAGTCCATGAACCAAACACTCATGTGCTTGTGACCCAGTAATGACAGAAGCTCAACTGCTCTTGTACGAACCAAAACTTTACAGCTATGCTCAAGCTATGTCAGACAATGTTTAATCTATGCAGAGCTTTATATTCAGCTTCCTGCCATAGTGTGGTTCGAGAAAAAAATGTGACTTGCTTCCTGTACAGCCACCATATCCCTGCTGCTGGATTTTCTACTATTTTATTAAGGTGGTTTAAGGTGCTTTATTTTTTAAAGGTGCTTTATTTAACTGTTCACTTATTTTGACCACTTCTTGCTAGCTTCCTTCATCCCATAAACTTGGCATAGCTTTACAGATCTTCATAGTAAGGAGTTCACCAAATTAAAACAAAACCATGAGCAAGATCAGACTCGGTCATAAAATTGAGACTGATATGAGAATGATGATCATATTTTAATAAGAGTATGTGGGCAATAAAGAGGTTAAACATTCTTTGTTAAAAACAAACAAACCAACCTAAATTTAAGATTCAGAATTGTTCTTGGAAAACATGAAACCAGTCTTCGGTTTCAGTTTTCTCACAGTAAAAGCAAGAACAACAATTTAGCAGTAGGAAATGTAAATTCCCCTTACTAAGCCAGGTCTCAGAAGAGCACATCAGAGAACCATGTTTTGGAAATGCAACAATAAAAAGTAAACAGGAGCTCAGAGAGGGAAAGAATGGGAGCTGGGAAACTTCAATATTACTATCAGGCCTCCCCATGTTTCCTTTCTCTCCCACAGCATCTGGCAACACAAACTTCTCAGCAGCCTTTGCACCTAAACCAGTGAACTACAGTATCAGTCCAGGAATTTTTTTTAACTCTGACTTTCCAGTTTTTATGGTTTGGGTTTGGCTTTGGTTTTTTTTTTTGCATTTCTAAACATGTGCTTACAACTGCATCCAATGATTTTCAATTTCACTTTTTTCACAAGGTCAGCTGTGAGATAGCACTGTACATGAAAACATCTCTTTTTATAAGAACTGGAAACTGAATGCCATCACTTTCATTTGGGCTGAAACAGAACAGAAAGAAAATAAACCTGTCCTTAAAAGAAAGAATATATCCAGATAACCATAACATGGTCTAAATAACTGAAAAAAGCTTCTCCACTGAGTGTACAAACAAGTTGAAAAAAATCCCACTCAAAGAGCAGTTATAAAGGGTTCAGTGTCAAATAACTGAGATTTACCAAGTAGAATCCTGTGCGGGACTTGCCCAAGTCAATACTCCATTTTTTTTTTATTAATAAGTTGAGTAATAAGATAGAGTACAACAATTAAAAAAAAAAAAGTTGGCTTGAAGAACTTTGAGTAAGTGCTTTGATTAAGTTAATGTATCAACAGCATATTTATAAGGTGCTAGAGAGCTCTTCTTGGGTTTCTTAACTTGCTGTTTGATATCACTATCAGGAAAAAACAGGATTCCTCTGTTGTCCTACTACCACAAAAAAAAAAAAACAGTTTTAAACACCAAATGCATGGTTGGAGAAGGAGTTATTTTGGATTTTTAAAATTTTGTTATTAGTCCTGTCTGTACACCAGAAGTTAAACATAAGTCTGTCTCTTACCAGCAAGAAATGATTCATTGATACTGACATTACTGTTATAAGTTTCTAAATAAATGTCAATTTTGTAAAGAAGATTTAACAAGTGAATTGCTACAAAAATAGAGCAGATCAGTGAAGTTGCCAACAAGCCTGTGAAGATGCTCGGCAGTGGGATTCCCGGTACAAAACCTTCTAGTTCAGACAGGTGCACGTATTAATTCTCTATTAAGTCTGCACAATTCAGGCTACTAATCAACTCAAAAAGGAGCTGATTTTTAAGCCTGAATTACAATTTTCCTTTCCAGCTAGGGAATTTTGACTAAAGTTAAACAATAGTTGATGACAGCTTGTCCTGCTTTAGGTAAGAATTAGTTTCTACCTCAGTCTTGGCACAATACACACTGTGCCATTTACCATTGTGCAGAATTTGAACCTGTCATGGACTAAAAACAACATTCCACCTATTTAAAAATAAAAAACCAAACAAACAGTCCAAACACCACACTGTCCTAGAAACCTGTGCAATAACATGCCTCCCAACATCCTTTTGGCACTCACATTTGTGACTTTTGGCAGTTGTATTTTCCTTGTTTCATTTGCTCAAAAGAACTGGCTAAGGTTTCAGTGTATGCTATTATACATTTAAAGAAAAGTATTTTATTTCTTAGGTCTAGAAGATAGTTTTCTGCAGGTGATTTCAGAGTATTTTATAAAACCCTTGATCACCTCTACAATGAACAGAGTCTGCTTTCTGATTGCAACACCCTGTTTTAGCAGTCCACAAAAGAAATTATCAGGGCATAATCCCAGTAACAACCACTATTGTAACACAAAGTCAACAGATGTTGATGATCATTGCTGGCATTTCCAAAAATCAGGACTTTCCCAAAAGAGGAACCTTCTTACTGCAGAGACTGAGGGTTCCACCTTCAGGACTTTCTGGGGCTTGTTTTAAGTGTTTTGACTAAGACTTCAAGATCTGTGCATTTTGATAAAGGTTACAAAAAGGTGGGAAATATGTTGGAAATTAGGTGGGTGAACAACTAGAACTCCATTTTCTTTTTCCTCTCACTGACAAATGGGTGCAGGCCACAAACTGCTACTTATTTAAGAATAAGTAATAAGCTGTCAAGCAGCTATTCATCCTGTTTAGGATAATGACAATTTTTCTGGTTTTGTACTTAGAAACCAATTTAAATAATTAAACAGTTTAAGGCTTTGGTACATCAGTAAATTTGCCTACATAATCACTTATTTTATTTTAGTCAATGAACCTACTTATATAAATGTTCTGTTTGTCAGGGAGCAGAATCCAGCAGATCTTGCTTTAATAATCTCCAGTAGATGAATTAAAAGTTTATGTTCCATTATATTTATTTAAAGCATTCTTGGGTGTGATTTTTTTAAACACCCTTAGAAAAGTTTCTTTTTGGCAGTGTTACCACTTTACGAACAGTAAAGAATATTACATTTCTGGTTGAGGGTTTTGACTGTATGTGTGATGAAGCTTAACACCCAAACGTCCTCTTTTCTGCAGTGGTGAAGTAACAAGAAAGGGTTGGAAATAACCTACAATTCCTGTGAGCATGACACATCTGACTAAAAAGCCACTGTGTTTGCACTGCGTGCAAAATGCACGCTGACACATTTCCAGTCAGCTGCCCTTTACTGCCATGGGTTTCACTCATTCCCTGCCACTACATAAGAGTGATGCTCCTTACATCCTTATCAGCAGTAACACTGGTACATTTTTGAAGAGCCCATCACCAAATACTGAACAGACCTTGCACCAGGAGCCCAAACGCTTGATTCAGAAGCAACAACATGTAGTAAAAAAGCCAGAAGAAAATAAGCCTTTTATTTCCTGGTGGGCGCAGGGCTGCCTGACGTGATGTCTCATGGAATGGGCCACCGTGATTATGGCTTTCTGGTGTAATTTTCTACCACAAACCATGGGAGAAAGAGGCTCCTTAATTTTAGCGTGGACCGTACATACTGACAGGCTTAGAATGGGCTGCAGGAGCAGCAAGAGAGGAAGGTCTGGAGCTCATGACCCAGCAATGCCTTCCCAGTTCTACTGCCCTATGGTGAAGTTCAACCAAAAGCTTCTTCCTCCTCTTTTCATGCAATCCTGCCCTCAGAAGAAAGCACTACATTTCCTGCGAGGCTTCCCTCTGATTTTGAGCCAGAGCGGGTGGTGTTTAAGGCCAGCAGGTAGCTGCACCACTGCGGCTGCAGCACCGAGCCTCGGGCGCACGACGCCGGGCACCATCCCATGTCAGCACCTCCTCCCGCAGCTCAGACATGAAGAAGGAACACTACCAGAACTTCCTATATAAATCCTACCACAAATCACTTGAAACCTGCATTATAAGGCACCATACCATCTTTCCAACTAAGTTACACGTCTGCACAACTTTAGTGACCCCATGCCACGTCCCAAGCCAGGACACTTCCCTTTCCGACCGGCAGAACCCATTCCCCAGAAGCCTGTGTGCGGCCATCTCCTCAGCCTGCGCTGGTTCACAGAGGAGTTTAATTTTTAAGCGTCGGGGACCGCCCTAAAGCCGAAGGTCATCACAACACGCTCGTTTCCATCCCAGAGCGGGCCACCCCCGCCCCGCCGGGCTCAGCCCCAGGATACTCTCCGTATCCCGGTCTCTCCGGCCACTGGCAGCTATCCTGCCGGGACTGCTCCCTCCGCGCCAGGCCCGGCACGTCCCGCACGGCGAGGGAAGGCGGGCACTCACCGTCTGGACCACCTTGGCCGGCAGCCGCCATCCCCACAGGTGCCGCAGGGTGCAGCCGAAGGGGCAGCGGCGAGGCGCCTTCGCCTCCGGTTCCGTGGTTTGGTTGTAGACGGTACCGTTCTCCATGGCCGGGCCGGGCCGCCGGCTATCAGCTCGGAAAAACCGAAAGTAAAAGGGCGACAGGTGGGGCGGGACGGGGCGGGGTGCCTTCGCCTCCGGTTCCCTGGTCTTGTGGACGGCGCCCGGGCCGGGCGGGCCGTGCCGCCGGCTGCCGGCTGGGGAAAGCCGCGAGGAAAAGGGCGGCATGTGGGACAG